TGGATGGGTGACAATAATTTTTTATCTCGAACTCCTCCGTGTTTCGGAAGGCACGTTAAGCTGTTGGTCCCGGCTGCGTCTGCAGTTGTTAGCACCAATCAGTACTGGGTCCGCGTGGTAGGTGACGGCCGAATCTCTATTCCATCCATAGGGAAGGCCTGTGTCTCAGCAATAGGGACATTGATAGATTGATGATATAATACTAATGTTATTATTACCTATATGTGCTATTCTTGTAAGTAAGTACAAACCTAGGTAAGGAACTCGATGGCGCAGAGCAGTTATGGTCAATACATACTAGCGAATTTCAAAAACAGTAGGGAACATAGCGAATTCACTTCTGATTATTTGTCCGAGCGGTATCTCATGAATAGGTTCATGTAGATGTTGATTCCTTCATGCTAAAAATTTTACGTGAAGGAAACTGATTTTTCGGCGCTTTTTGCACTTTAAGAATCTTTGTAATTTATAACTTGCAGGTACCCATATGATGACATTGTGGAATTATTACCCTGTTGATTAAACTGTGGATCGCTGTATTACCCACATACATACCTTTATGTATTTACCAGCAATCATTCGAACAATATGGCAGCTAATCATTGTTGATTCTGTGGTAAAGCTGGCACGCGAAGCCGCAACCCTCAAATTAGCTAATTGAATCGCGTGGCCTGTCTTCTTAGACTAGCTCGCCCTGTGGGACTCCTAACGGTCCTGGTTTAACTTGCCTTGTTAATTTCGCGAGGAAATGTTTAGTTGCACGCGATGTCCCGGTTAGGTAGGTACTGATTTTTATAAGATTAACGATTGCTTTACGTGGGTTTGTTACTTTTTAGTGTATCAGAGTTGTCGTTAGCCTATATAGCGCCCGTGTGCGCTCTCTTGTAAGCGTGCAGTCAAAATTAATGGTGGCGAGTGGTGCTCGGGCTGCTTTGTAGTAAGCGTCAACGTTTACCAATAGACGCGATAGTTAACAGAATATAACTCTTTATTTGCCCTGACCACATCTCCTATGGCTTTTATTGATAAAAAAATACAAGATTTTTTTGAGGATGTCAATTACTTATATTTAAACTAAAGTGGAGTTTATCCACTATGTCATGTCATGTAGATGACAGGCGCATCCCTGATCTTACTTACTCTTATCACGTGAGTAAATGAACGTTTATTTGCTAATGCACTTTTATGTAAGAGAATGTAGTACCTTGCTTTTTCAAAGACAATATTTTAACTCATCAGCTAAATAATAGAGAACAGTACAAGCAAGTTCTTAAGACGCAGCTCTGTTTAAGCGCGGCCTGTAACCGCCATAAATCAGTCGTTCAGAATTTACGACGGCCCTCCGCAAATCGGTTTATATTTTCGATAAATAAAATTGGCGCGGGTTTTGCGAGGTAAGCAGAGGCCGTTAGGAGAGCATCGTGCCACCAGCTGCTGCGAGCACATAAACCCGACTACCCTCGCGTTTTCTTGCTGACAATTTTTTCCCGCTCCGGTCATTACGCAGCTGGGCCCGAGACAAAACGGCGAATCGTTTAAGCCCTCTCCGGAGACCGTCCAATTTTATTGTGTGTACCTAGTCGAAATTGATATGCCGCGCGAGTGGCGACCGAATGCCGCCTCTATGTGACGGACGCTTCGGCCTGCCCATTTGCTGCCTCTCGGGTTTGGGTAGTAAACTTATAGGTACTGAAGTCGTGTGTGCATTCTTATTTTTATTTGACATCGCACAATAGAACCTTCATAAAAGTGTCATCTTTAAGAATGTCTTAAATCATAGATATGTCAAATAGGTACCTACGGGCTATTGAAAGCATATTGAAAGTGATACGGCTTTTTAATAGCCCTAGGATTTCGCTATACGCACTTGGACCAAAAGTAAGTAAGTACTTTATGTACTAACGAGGTTTCGTCATTAGTGATGTAAACAACAGTACCCCAAGCACGAAATTTGACAGATCTGTATTCGTATCGCCATCGTCAAAGTTTCTATGGAAAAATCTAGTTTGTTCTTATGTCCGGTAGGGACGCTGCTTAGTTTCCTATCATCAGTGACTGGTTAGCTACTTTTGGTATTTCAGTAAATCCTACTAAGTGTCAAGCGATGCAAGCAAATAGGCAGTTCTCGTCTGCTGACCCAACTTGACCTTACTAGGGTTAATTCATTACTTTATGATGGAGTTGTTATTCCTTTTTCGACTCAAGTGCGGGATTTGGGTTTGATTATCGATGACAAACTTTCGTGGATAAACCATGTCGATTTCTTCTCGCATAGGGTGACCAATTCTTTGAGATCTCTATACAGGTTTAAGTTTTTTCTGCCTATTCGCACAAAGATTGCTCTTGTTCAATCTTTAATTCTGCCTATTATCGATTATGCCGACGTATGTTATCCAGATATTAATGAAAATCTTTTAAATAAGTTGGATCGTCTTCTCAATAACTGCATCCGCTTCATATATGGCTTACGTAAATACGACCATATCTCACATTTTCGTCATCAACTCAAATGGCTTCTTATTCGTGAGCGTAGGAACCTTAGAGTTGTTTGTGCTCTTTTTAATCTTCTTTACGATCCACATACACCAGCTTACCTGAAAAGCAGATTTAGGTTTCTGTGTGATTCTCATGACCGTGTCCTCCGTTCAACGGACAACCTCCTTCTGCATACTCCCGTCCACTCTTCTGGCTTCGTCTCATATTCTTTTACCATCACGGCTGTACGACTCTGGAATGGCTTGCCCCCTTATATGTATACGTAAAGCTCCTAACAAACTTGTATTTAAAGGCTTGGTTCGTGAGCATTATCTTAATATAATTAACCTGCGTTCTCATATTTGACTGGCATAATTACGTGTATGTTTATGTATGTATTGTAGATATAGCATATATATTTAGATGTATATATATATATATATATATATATATATATATTTTAATATTTGTGTATTCTATTGATATATAAATATTTCCTACCTGGTTTATTTAGCATAATGTGTTTATTGCACCGTCCCGTATTTTTATTTCTCACGCTTTTGGCATTATGTCCGCCATTTGCTGTTTTTTTTGCAATAAAGTATAAATAAATAAACTTTGACGTTGGCGATACGAATACAGAACTGTCAAATGTCAAGAAGTTTTGTATGGAAGATTTAAATATTTGACGCGTATCAAGAGCGAATGTAACAAAACTAATTGGATATTGGTTCGTGCTAAGGGTACAGTACTTTATCTATACGTGTGGTTTTCTTTTGATGGTTACCAATTAGGAGCCTTCAAGAATTCAAAAGAGATTTCCGTTTACTTTCCTATCTTTTGAATAAAAAAAAACTGTAAATACTTCATCGCAGAGGTTGTGATCTAAGTTCTACTCGTAAGTATAGTAAGTATATAAGGATTTAATAGATTTTTTAATAGCTCACAGTATAAAATAAGCTGAAAGTGGCTACTTATGACTTAAAATATAAAGACACTTAGGTGTTCAAGATATATATTACTAGTGTCCCGCCCTCGCTTTGCTTCGGTGTAGAGCTGTAGTGTAGACTATAGTTTTTGTTCAAAGGCTTGTAGTATACACAATGACCTTCTTCATAGTAATTATAAACCTTCCATTCCAAGTAAAAAATTCGTTGCGTAGTTTAGGACCCGTTGTACCGAATGCAACATTGCTCTGCTGTTCCGATTTGAATTTTTTTTTTGTATTATTTTATTGTTGTATTATTATATTAGGAAGGCTATATTATGTTACCAGTTTATTGATCAGTAGCAGCGAAGCATCGATGAAAAATGTTGCAAAAACGGGTAAAAATATTCCATTTGTGAGATTCCGTTGCGTGCGCTGGGTAAACGGTTAAAGTAACACAAAAATCATGTATGACGGAATTCTTTCCCTTTAGAAGTTCTGTAAAAAAGCCCACGACAGCCTATGTCTATATTTTAAGTTTGACTCACTATAAACCTTTTTCTCCAAATTAACGCGGGTAAAATCGCAGGGGATCTCTAGTTGTGACATAACTGTAATAGTTAGACATATGGAATCGCGGACTTTTTTGTAGATATTGGTATACTCTATAAAACATTGGTACATCACTTTGCTCTATTGTCAATGACTTCCGCAGCGTACGCGATATAAGGCTATTTTTTGGTATTTTTTTATCACCTTGGGTTACATACATTATCGAAGTTTTCATACGGAACCCTAACTTTTTTGAAAATACTCTATAGCCTATATTAATCAGTGATAATGTAGCATTCAAACGATAAGCGAATTTTTAAAATCGGTCCAGTACTTTTTGAGCCAATTCGTTACAAACATACTTACATACAAACCTTTACTCTTTATAATATTAGTATAGGTACCTAACTATGTATGTTATTATGTGTGGTTAATTAAGGTAACCAAAAACCATGATTGACCTCTGACGGAATCTAAGTCTGTAATGTTGTAATGAATTTGCTTAATTGAGAATCTTAACCAATATGACACAAATAGGTTGTTTATGACAAGAACAATAAAGGAATACTAACATACAACTTAGCGAAATCTATAGGCCACAGGTACAACAGGTACAACCTCACTCAACAAACAATTAATGAAGCCTACAAATCGGGGCAGCTTGAAGCTGTTGGGGTCGACTGCTTAAAATTGCAATTGCTTGCATAGTGAACTTTAATCTTCTACGTACGCAGATACATGAACCGCTCGAGCAGTTGACTCTGACTGCTCGAGCAGTCCGTGTATGACCTCTCTCAGAATGCGACCATAATTATAGACAAATGAATGATGAAAGAGACGGTAACCACAATCATCTATGCTATAACCATAAAGCATAACAAACAGAGAGTATCCTAATCCTAATCACAACGACATGTCACATTGGAAATAAAATGTCGAGGATATTTTTATGTTCAAATGTCTAACAGTAGATCCGACTGTGATGTGACGGTGGTGGTAGGCACGATCGTGGTGTTCGCTCTTCCGCTGACTCTTCTCATTCCAGACTTCTCCCTGTGGGACGTGATCCCTAAGATCCAGGTCACCAGGTTCCACATACTGAGCCAGCACCTCACTTGGCCACAGCTCAATGCAGCAATCATCGGTCTACTGTCCCTGCTCTTCTGCTTCTACCTTGAGATTCGGAAGAGAAAGTAAGCACTCAACTTGTATAGTTTTGTGACTGTGAATCTGAGAAATACTCGTAAGTTAGAGTTTGAGTTCAGTTTAAGGGTTTTGCAGTTACTGTTCGAAGAAATATATTATACTTATGCCTGGTATGCCTATTATATTTTTATTCAAACTGCTAATTTTATTACTTACCCACAACTCAACAAAATATTGCTTGCTCGTTAAGATTGAAACTATTTTAATAAATTAATGTAGACTGAGTAGCCCAGTTAAGTTTTAAGCTAAGTATAACCTTTTAAAAGGAAAAGCTCGAAAAATGCGTTTGGCAGAAGCGAAAGATAGTATTTACCTGTCTGGCAAACTATTACTATTGTGCTCGAATAATAATATCGACCCAAACATAATCAAAATATGTTTTAACTTTTAACGCTGTTGATAATTGTATTTCAGGTAATTAGTCCTAAACCTTTAGATTATAAATCTCTGAGTAAATATTTGTACCTATGTTTATTACATTTCCGAGGGCATAAAATTTACTCTACACTGAGAGAAAAGAATTAGTTACTAGTAACTGTATTAGGTACATTGTTAGTATATATTAGACGGGACTCGAACCCGTACCCTTCGCTATCAGGGCGAATGCACTGACTATTATACTTTCTTTATTATTTTACTTTCTATCCTTTCTTTAGCTACAAGGCACCTTCTCTTCGCATTGTAGGTAACCCGCAATGTCAAATGAATATCTTTATATGTATTAACATTTGAAAGAGGAATAACCATTATAATTATAATTTTTATTTGTATTGCATGTAAATGCTCGATGTTTACATTTAAAGATTTTTTTCTAGTTATATTTTCTTTAGATTTAAACATCGAGCAGTTAATTACCTACATGCTTCGAAAATTAAAATAATAAATATGTTACGTTAGTATTTTTTTTTTATTTTTAAGGCTAGACGATATGGTGGAAAAAGTGCTGACTGTCAGTCAAGTGACTGACGCAACAATGGAAATCGAGAAGGAGAGGCAGGCGGCAGCCATGAGGGTGTGCGTGGACCTTTTGGACACCTCCGCAGAACACTACGAGCACCTCATGCTGCTCAGAGATGAGCTCCGTAAGCGCGAACGCCCAAAGAAGCAACTCCCACCAGCCATCGAACCGAGCGCTTTGGAAATATGACCTCTTTAGGGCAACGACGAACTTTTTGGTTTTTTTTATCTCCAGTGTTTGTTGTATGCTTTCGGTGACTATTTTGAAATTAAATTTCTTTTCCACAAGTAAACCTTGTGTTGATTTAATCTTAACTACAATTTAGTGCTTAAATATATAATTAGAAACATTAGTGGTTTTGCTACAGTCTTAACTATCTATTTACCCTGTTAATCCTTACAATATACAAATCATTTCATGAGCTTTATAAAATTATGATTTAATTATCTTGTAAGGAGGTATATTTAGTAAGTAGAATCCTTGATTCTCTCTCCTTGGAGAGGCATCTCCTGATGCCATGAGGTGCGTGAACCTATTGAAAACCTCCACAGCACAGATCGTGCTGCTCACAGATGAGCTCCGTAAGCGCGAGCGGCCCAAGAAGCCATTCCCACTAGTTATCGAACCCAGCGCTTTGTAAATATTTGTATGAATTTTGTACGCCAACGAAGAAGAACTTAGAAAGAGGTTTGACCGAAATAAAAAAAAACCTAACGGAGACGCACGGCACCATATATGGGCGCGTGCGGTATAATGCTTTACCGCACGCTCCGTTGTAAGCCCGTAATTTTAAACTTTCCAACAATGTAGGTATATAACCTTCGTAAATGCATTTTTTGGGTAAATGTGTTGAAAAAACTATTTAAAGACCTCAAAAAAAAAATAGTTCCACAAACCTGTCGTTTGATGGCGGTAAACCAACGGCTCCTGAATTGCGCTGTACCAACGGAGCTTCTGAATTGCTTTACCGCTATCTTATTATAAAAACTATAGTTGCACTTGAAACGTACACAGGCTCTTCATATTGTAGATTTGTGGAAACGACGGGCAACTACGGAACCTACACTGCGCGTGGCACAAGCACAACACACACTTAGCCGGCTTTTTTCCTGTTATTACAATCTAGAAATATTTTTTATGCTCCATTAATAATGATGAAATTTATTTTATTATACATATAAATCGGTAAAAAATATAGATAGGGGAGACCGAGGGGATTTGAAACAAAGGTGATTTGAAACAGTACCAATTTCGCAGATCATAAAACCGTTAGCGTGTTGGTACCGTCAGTTTTCAATCACTTCCCTCCGCTGGCTGACATGTCAATTCGCGTTGGTGGCATAAGTCGCGCGGTTGTGGAGTTCTACGCGTCATGTGACAAAAATCGTGAAAAGTAAGTTTTTAACGTTTTTTACGATGCTTATATTTTGATAAGGGTTTTGTATTTAGGTTTTGAGATTATATATGTTTCGAAAGTTCATAACTAAATATTTATTATAATATATGTTTGTTACATTGATTTTTGCGTTTTTTGTTCTTGATTGTGGATTATATAAAAATTGGGAGGTTTTTTTCTTACTGAGATGATTTGAAACAGGCTGGTTCAACTCTCCTCTTTTCCAATTTTATATCAGATAGTAGTCAATAAATATTGGAAAAAAAATTTTTTTTTTGTTGATTTTTTTTAGAATGCCTACTGATTATAAAAGAAAGACTGACAGCGGTATGGCGGTCACGTTCTAGCAGCAGAAGAAGTAACTTTGCGATAGAAAAGCTGCTTAACTGATATCAGTACAAAATATAAATAAAAAAGTTTGTTTCGTATTTGAATAGTTTAATTTTAATAAATACCTTCAAATTATATCATCACTTTTATTTTACATTCTTTAATACTTCTCTAAAATCATATGTTTCAACTCTCCTCGACCCCTGTTTCATCTTACCTCGGTATGAGGACAGTTGAAACAAGTTGACTTGTTACGGTAAAGCCGATTTTTCACCACAATATTTAACGCTTACAATTACTTTATGTTAGTTATTTGCAAGTGTAAAGAATGCCCTATCAATTGGTACTAATACCATTCGATTTCTGTTTATAGTATTTGTTGTATGAAACAAAATGTGAAAATTGTTTCAACTCCCCTCGGTCTCCCCTACTGAACTTTAGTCTTTGATTGAAATGAAGACAAATCTGTCGTGTCGACTAGTCTGAGGTATTCTTTATTTTCAGAAAATCTAGTTCTAGACAACATTTTCAAATGGTTCTAGATTTTAATGAAACTCAACTGAATGACGGCGGAGTTCGGTGCTCTCACGGGACATAATATAATTGAAGTAGCGAAAAACCAATCTGGAACTAGCAATTATGGCGAATGTATGTATACCTACTACACATAAAAGAACAACAGGGTTTTTTAAACCACTTTTTGCTTTGCAGGTGCGATGTGGTCCAAAATGAAATTATTAGGTGGTATGTAGGCTAGGTACATTTTAAGTTTTTGGGTATCCAGAGTCAACAATGGGCTGCGCAATCGGAAGTACTGACTTTTTGTTACGACACGGCACACCGTCATCACAGGCAACCGGACAGCTCGCGGCACGTAACTCTAGCGCTGAACAAAACGCAGAGGGGATACCTGCGCATGGGTACGACTGGAGAGCCAATCGGCGCAGCGCAAGCTCACCCGCGTACTTCGTTTCCCCCTCAAGACATCTTAATTTTTATTTCTGCGCAATAACGGTCAGCGCTAGAGTTCCGTGCCGCGACTTATAGTTACTGTGTCCTGTAGTGGCTAGCGGACACAGTCGTCGGTTGCTACTCCTGTTCCCGTAGCATGAGCAGCACAATTAACATTATATCACGCTTTTATCACATCTAACTGTTGAACTCCATAGTAATTTGACAATTGAGCGTGATAAAAACTCTATATAAGTATATCATATCGCGATGCACATGCTATTGCAGAGCACTATTTCACCAACTCGACATAGATGATGCATATATGTCATAAAAATTACAGGCATTTTGTTACAATTGACAATTGTCCGTATCTTGCTTTGACGACATTTGTTTTGTGAAACATGAACACAAAAATATTTATGTTTGCGCAAAGAGTGGCTGATTTTATACTGGTTCTATAGAAATCAAATATTTTTTGGTAGCTTGTATTCAACACAAGACACAAAAGTGTCCACGTTTGCGCACCACCTTATTATTCACACAGCGAAGTTGTAAAATATAAAGAAAATAAGATGCCTTCCCGTCACGTAAAATGGGGATGTATTTGTTTTATGTTGGCCTACCTACTTAAAGTGTGAAGTGTCATTGGATAGGTCTTTCAAAAATATTGTAGGGTAAAAACAAAATTGATGAAAGGATCCGTTTATATAATCCGTTTGTAAAATATTTATTTTTATTTATTTAAACTTTATTGCAAAATTACAAAGCAAATGGCGGACATAATGCCATAAGGCATTCTCTACCAGTCGACCAGTAAGAGCGTGAGAAAAAATCTAATATGACGGGGCGCAATAAAGACAAATTTAAGATAAACCAATGATACAAATACTCTTAACAGAATACATACATATTATACACATATATATATATATATATATATATATATATATATATATATATACATATACACACATACATACACACACACACATATTATACAATACATACATAAATACATGGTTTTGTCAGTCAAATATGAGAACGCTGTTTAATGCTATTGAGATAGTGCTCACGTACCAATCCCTTAAATGCAATTTTGTTAGGAGCTTTACGTATATTGGGGGGTAAGTCATTCCAGAGTCGTACAGCCGTGACAGTGAAAGAGTGGGAGACGAAGCCAGAAGAATGGACGGGAGTATGCAGAAGGAGATTGTCCGTTGAACGGAGAACACGGTCATGAGAATCACTCAGAAACCTAAATCTGCTTTTTAGGTAAACTGGTGTATGTGGATCGAACAGAAGATTAAAAAGGGCACAAACAACTCTGAGGTTCCTACGCTCACGAATAGGAAGCCACTTGAGCTGATGACGAAAATGTGAAATATGGTCGTATTTACGTAAGCCATATATGAAGCGATTTTCATTTATATCAGGATAACATACGTCGGCGTAATCGATAATAGGCAGAATGAGAGATTGAACAAGGACAATCTTGGTACGAGTGGGCAGAAAGAACTTAAACCTGTAAAGAGATCTTAGAGAATTGGTCACCCTATGCGAGACGAAATCGACATGGTCTATCCAGGAAAGTTTTTCGTCGACCATCAAACCCAAGTCCTTTACTTGAGCCGAGAAAGGAATAGTAACACCGTCAAAGAATATTGAATTAACTTGAGTAAAGTCAATTTGCGACAGTAGACGTGAACTGCCAACAACGATCGCTTGACACTTGTTTGGATTGACTGAGATACCAAAATTAGCCGACCAGTCTCTGATCACACTTAGATTATGATTTAAATCTGCGACAGCCTCATTCAAATGAATGCTATCAGTGCTTGCATATAGTTGTAAATCATCAGCATACAGATGGTAAGAGGAAGTAAGAAGTTCTGTAAGAGTATTAATGAAAAGGGAAAAAAGTGAAGGAGAAAGAATACCGCCTTGTGGAACACCGGCAGTCAGCTCGCGCCAACTGGATAACTCCTGATCGAAGCGAACAGCCTGCCAGCGATCACGAAGATAAGAAGTGAACCACTTCTGCACTGAGGATGAGAACCCTAGTCGAGAAAGAACAGCTATGAGAATATCATGAAAAATATCACTTTACTACCACAAAAAATTTGGAAAATTCATTCAAATTTAGTCTAAATAAAATAGTGCCTGTTTTGTAGTTCTACCCCAGTTTTTCAGTGTAATGTTTTGTAGAGTCAAGTGACATTGTTTTTTTCTGGACAGGTGTGTGAAAAAAATATGAAATTAAAAAAAAAAGTACCATAGCTTCGTAAGATTAATAATTTACAAGTTATGACAGGGGAAGTAAAAATTTAGTACAAATTCAATTGATTTTTTTGATATGGGATAAACGCAATAGGTTATAATAACGTTGTTAGTTGCGTTAACCATTTTAAATAGGTATATATAAAAAAATATTAAATATTCTCAATAATAGTAATATCTTATTATATAATGTTCAATGTTCGAATAATGCATTGGAGCCTACGTCACTCGCTTTGTAACAGGCCCCTACGGAACACTTGCGCGTGGCCAGATACGTACTGAACTATATTTTTGATTCAATACATAGATTCGTCGAATGCGACTTAAGTCACCTTAGA